TACAGAATCTTAGACATATTGAGAGCAGCAATATACTCTGCTATAAAAATGGTACTTTTCTCAGCCTGCCTTTCATGGGTATGATCCATAATTTGCAAGGTGAGGTGCCCTGGATATTTCTGGGGAAGTTTGCCATCCTGATAGAGATGCTGTGCCTTTCTGCCTCTCTAGTGTTTGGGTTTTGTGAATGCTAATTTGGCTGATTCTAGGTTTCCTTTCAATTATAGTTAGTCCCCAGTTTACGACAGGGTTCCGTTCTAATGACTTAGAGGTAAGTCGTTCTGACTAAGTCAAAAACCTCATTTTAAAAAAGTTTTCATTATTATTGCCTTTTATTATCAGAATATTTATAAATCATAATTTTGAACATCTGTAAGTGAACATCTGAGAACGATAACATCAACAAATTACATGCTACAACATCGTATGTGGTACATATTAGTAACAGTAAAATGTACAACAACAACAAAACAAATGTTAGTAAGTGCAGTCTGTTGTAACTCAAATGTGTTGTAAATTGGGAACTACCTGTACTTCCCAGGTTGTAATTATGTTCAAAGGTTTTGAGGCTGCTGGAAGTCAGACCTCTAGATAATAAGGGAATTCCTGTATTTAAGTTAAGGAGCTCTGGGGGTGTAGTGCCTACGACATTTGACTGCTAACCAGGTTGGTGGTTCAAACCCACCAGTCACTCCGTGGAAGGAAGACTGGTCAATCTACTTCCATAAAGATTTACTACCTCAGAAACCCAAAGGGAGTCGCAATGGGTCAGAACCGACTCTATGGCAGTGAGTTGTTTTTTGGTTTTTTGTATATAAGTTGATTGCCTTTTCCAAATTTATTCATATAGTTTGATGTTGAACATTCTAAGTGAAAATAATTAAACACCTGCCCTTTTTCAAATTTACTAATTCATACCCACAGTTTTGGTGGGATAGTGGGTAAAGCATTTGGCTGCTAACCAGAAGGTCGATGGTTCAAACCTACAAGCTGCTCCACTGAAGGAAGATGAGGCAATCTATTTCTATAAAGACTTACAGTCTTGTAAACCCAGTGGGGGTCACTATGTCTCAGAATTAACTCAATACCAGTGGTTTTGTTTGTTTTTTTCTATTCATACCCGGACAAACATGGGATTCATTGTAGAGATATCAAAAAGTGTGCTGAATGGGCAATTAAAGAAGAAGGACTAATTTTGCTGCAGTGGGAAAAAATATATTTTATGGCAGAAATGTGGAGATCAAAAATTGCTACAATTTAATTGTAATCCCATTTATCTCTGCATAATGTCTTTATCTCAATGTCTCAATTCCCTCTACTTTGTTTTCACACCAAGGTATTGAATGAGAAATATATCAAGTTGACTGATTATTTGACATATCTGATCTAGAGTAGCTTCTACAGCACTCCTCTCTTTTTTTTTTCCTCCCAGTAAATACTTTTGATGTTGACATATAGCATATTGGGAATGACAGGTGCCTGAGGGCAAGTGCATCAAAGTACTTAGGATCAGAATGTTTGGTAAGGATTAAGTTTTTTAATGGAGCAGAGTGTAGTTTTATTGAATCCTTGAAAGGCAGACCAAATGAATCTCCTTTATTGTGAAAGAAAATAATCCATACGATTGCAAACCCAAGAAACTAACAGAGAGCCACTTACACATTTAGCATGTACTTATTTTTCAAAATTTGACATTTTTCTGAAGTACACTTGCAATCTTAATACCCCTCTCCTTCCTTCCTTTTATAACATACCATTTTCAACCTGTTTGTTTATAGAATGAAGGCCTTAAGGAAAAGCCTTATTTGCAGTCCCACAAAAGGAGTGAATATACTGGTCTCTATGATCAGTTTAACTGAATTTGACTAAATCCTGGTAAAAACTCCAATCTTCATAACAGGCACATAAGAGGATGCTTATTAACAAATTGGTATAACATAACTAAGCAGTTAACTAAATTATTCAGATGCATTCATTGAGCTCCTATAATGTGCATAGTATCATTTCAAAGTAGACACTCTTCTCTAGATGTAAATTGGGCCAATGAAATTATAATTTCAGAACTTAGAACTTTGATACATTCACAGTACCCTAATCACAAGAAAAGTTTGCTACTACTTCCACAGGCACCCAGTTTATTTCTAAGGAATAGCTAAAGCATTGAACATAAATCAAACTTAAACGTTAAAAAAAAAGATGAAGTTAGGGAGTAGCTATACCTTTGTGACATACCAATGAAAATATGAATCCTATCTGGTGATGTCAAGTTCTAGCATCTGTGCAGGGTAGTCTAGGAAAGGATATCTATTTTTACAAAAGAACAATATCAATTTCAAAATAAACCAGGATACAATAAATTGCAATTTACATGAATAATAAAAGTACACAAATACCAACTTCTTCTTCCTGCATTGGAATTATACTCCCTCAGACATACTACCATCACTGAGAACGCGGGGTAAGGTTGGTAAATGTATAGTGTGATGAATAATTAAATAATATAGCCAAGTTTTTGTGTGTAGTCTCAATGATTTTTCAACACACTTTTTCAATAGCACCATTGTAAGAATGAGAATTGAAGAGAACATAAGTATTTTCATGGGAGCTCTTGTGGTGCAGTGCCTAAGGTATTGACTGCTAACCAGAAGGCTGGAGGTTCTAACTCACAAGACACTCCTTGGAAGGAAGACTGGGCAATCTGTTTCCATAGAGATACCACCTTGGAAACCCAAGGAGGGGTCACTATGAGTTGGAATTGACTTGACAGCAGTGAGTTTGGGTTTTTTTGTTCATTTGCTTTGTTTTTCAATATAAGTATTTTCTTAGAGATAGCTTATAGAGTTCTCATAGACCCCGAAGCAGAAATAGAACACCATAACTTCCTTTATACATCTCTAGTTGTTATTGTTTCCTTCCTTAATAGGTTCTCCTTCCAGGTCAAGTGTTATCTGCTGGCAGAGTACCTTCAGGATAAATATGTTTGCCTCATTTACATGTCCTTCAATTCATGGCTCAATTTACAAGCTCAAGCTCAGGTTCTGCTCTCTCTGTTTAGAACTTCCCACACTAACTTAAAAGGATCATTTAAAACACTGGGGGGGAGGGATGGGAATTTCCCTGAAAAGAGACTTGTTCAAGGAGAGCAATGCTATTTCCAGCTGATGCTCTGCCTCAGAAAGTCACTCACCCTCATCTGTGAGAGCCTCAGTAGCCTCCCATTCAAAAACTTACTATTCCTATTATTTTCTAAATGTGGTGCTTAAATAAAATTAAATTCAATCAATAAAAGTAATTAAATAACAAAATAAATTAAAAAATATATGGTCTGATGGTTTTCAGAGAAAGTAATAGAGAAAGGTCAGTTCTCTGTAAGTTCACATTCCTTTCTGTACCAATTTCCAATGACCGGGCAATACTGCCCTCTAAAGGACCTATTATGTTACATCTCTTAGTTCAGATGGGAAATGGCCCTAGGACACACGGATCAGCAATCACACACCCACCCCCCCACCCCACCCCCCACACACACACATTTTTTCTTTTACTTCTGGGTCAAAGTCTGTCCTTGACCTTCTGTGAATGATTCAGAAGACCATGGAGCCCCTAGAGAGGCTGTGTGTCTTCATGAAGTCTCACTGTTACACTGGTTCCCAAACCTTAGCACTTATTATAGTCATCTGGAGGGTTTGCTTAAACACACGTTGCTGGACCCACCCCTAGAGTTCTGATTCTGCAAGTCAGGGGTCAGGTCCAACACTGTGCCTTTCTAACAAGTTCCCAGGTGATGCTAAATGTTGCCAGTCCAGGTACAACACTGTGTGTCAGATACTGTGCTAGGCACTTTAGCTTATTTAATACTTCACAAGGTGATATTTGGGAGTTCTGGTGGCATAGTGCCTAAGGCATTTGACTGCTAACCAGAAGGCTGGCAGTTAAAAAACCCCAATCACTCCTCGGAAGGAAGGTTGGGCAATCTACTTCCATAGAGATACTGCCTTGGAAACCTAAGAAGGGGTCACTATGAGTCAGATTCAACTCAACGGTAGTGAGTTTGATTTGGTTTTGATTTGAAGGTGATGTTTTATCATCTCTGTTTTACAAGGCAAGAAAGCTAAGTCTCAGAGAGACTAAGTGGCCAAGATTACACAGTAGGTAGCAAAGCCTAACATAAACCCAAGACATCTAACTCAAAAGCCACTGCTCTTTTCTATACACTATGATATAAATAAGTAAAAATTTTAGTCATTCTATCTTTCTTGGACTTAGCTTCTTCACGCAAGGAGGCAGGACTTAGATGGTCACTTACTTTTTTCTCTTTATCAGAATACCTGGAAGGTAGATAGGAAAGTCCAGCCCACAGCCACTCAGTAAAGGTCCACACTATACCTAGGCTGGTTCTGTGAGTGGGTAAGCTAAGAGGTGAAGAGAGAGGATGTCAGGTCAAGGGCCATGTCTGGATCCTGAATTCTCCTGCAAAGTTAAGAGGGGGTCTGGCCTTCTTTGGATTCTGGGGTTCTTTGTACTCAAAAACTCTGGAGGAGAAGTTTTAGAGCTAATCTATCACAGGAATTTTAAGGACCTACAAAGCCTAGTGGGTTTTGGAGAGGATCCAGAGTGTGGCTGTGTCTCTCCACCCTCTCCAGCCTCAACTCAAATCACCACAGCAGGAGCAAGGATCACTCAACTTTAAAACTAGAGGGACCAGCTACCTTGACTTAAGCTGTGTGAAGAATGAAAAGTTTTGATAAAGGAAAACAATTTTTCAGGTCACATACCCCATTAGGCATAGTGCAAGTGAAAAGTCCCTAGCACTCAACCCCATGCAGGACACCACAGTGATGGGAAAAGGACAGTAAGGAGCCACCCACTTCAAAAACTGTTTTTTTTCATCTTTTGCATTCGGTTCCTAACCCAACTTCTTGTTTTCCAGAGGGGCTATAAATCTGGAACATCCCATGGGGATGATTTCTGGCCTTAAGCATGAAGAGGAAAGGATGTTCTCAGAAAAACAGTCCTGCGGGCTGGTCAGCAGAGACCTTGAGGTCGTGGCCACGGCTGGACTTCGTGCAGAGCTGCACCCTGGACTCCAGCTGCTCACTGAGTTCGTCCAGAGCCCCGGTGCAAGACTCTAGGCTCTCTGCCAGTTTCTGAATCTTGGCTTTCAGTACGGCCTGGCTAACCTTGGTAGCCCCTTCGGCCCGCCTGGGGATGAGAAAGCCACGCGAGCCAAAGAAGACGATGCAATAGACAGAGTTGTACAGGGCAATGGAGGCATTCCTTCCGCACTGCAGCAGCTGGCGGTCCCCGCGGCCCTGCCAGCGGCAGAAGAACTCGAGACAGCTCAGGATCTCGCGCATCTGGTCCTGGCAGGTGGCTGCGATCTCCTGCACCCTCCGCAGCTCCCGGGAGTTGCAGAAGACCAGGGAGAGGTCGGAAGTGATGGTGACGGCTCCTCCAGCAGTAGCTACCCCTAGCCCCACGGCCGACGCCAGAAGCGAGGCCCCCAGGGTGATGGGGCTGAGCGAGAGGCCCACGATGGCGGCGACAGCGCCCGCAGCGCTCAGCGAGCTCCCTGCCACGTTGGCCACCAAGGAACGCCTGCGGAGGCGCTCGAGGCGCCGGGCCACCTCGCGCAGGCGCAGCATCTGGCCATGCAGCAGACCCCGGCGGTCCAGCAGCAGCCCCTGGAAGCGCCGCAGCGAGTCCGCGCCTTGCGGCTCCCAGGCCGCCGGCCTCTCCATGCCCTGCAGGGACACAGATACAGTTAGCCCACTACTCCCACTCGCAATTCCCAGACTCAAGCGAAGAGTTCTCAAAAGTTAAAAATAGCAGCTACTGCCACACAGGAGCAGATTCCTGTCATGTGTCAGGTTGTCAAAGACCAGTTTTGTAATCTTGGACAAGCCACCCAAGTTCTTAGGATCTTGTACCCACATATGCAAATAGGAATAATGCTATCTTCTGCTTTTCTCCTAATAGACTTTATTAACTATCTGTTATATAAGATTTAAATTCATTGAGGAGGGGATGGTGGGACCGGAAGTTCCTCCAATATTGAGGCCTTTGCTGTGTTTGAAAGAGAATATTTTACAAATACTAGGTTGTGTAGTTTACAAAACCCTTTCATTATAGGAAGACTTGGATGGTAAGAGTTTTGCAGCAGCTGTTCCTCTCTCCTTCTCTGACAAGTGAACAAAGTCAAGTCACCAACACCTAAAAAATCATCTTGTCTATCGAATGTAAGAAATGAATCCAAGTTAGATCCTTGCCTGAAACAACTCTTCTGCTTATTATTCGTCCACACACTCTGATCTTAGAGCCAAGCCTGGAATGCAATTTGCATTAGTATTCCTTTAATAGATAACTAACATGCATCAGGTCTTCTTCAGAAATCTCACTCTTTAATAGTTGCTTAATTAAAATTAAATTAATACTACCATGTTTCTTTGTTTTTAAAGCTCCCTTAAAAAGGAAAAATTAGTAATGGTTGAATAAAATAAAGTAGTCAAAATTTATGTTCAACAATTCACTGAAAGCTACCTTGTACTAAGTTACATTGAAGGCAATTGAAGGTTACTACCAGAGATTTGTGCACTCTGGGGTAAAAGTACATCCTTTCTACCTACCAAAGATTTCCACCTTTATATCCACTGTCCTCCTCATTATGAAGAACATCTTCAAATTGCCAAATAAGCCCTTAAAGCAGAACATTCAAGTACTATGGCTTTGCATATAAAACGGTCTTTTATATTTTCCATAGATATTTTAACAACTGTTTTCTCTTTTGATGCTTCCAATAACCCTGTGATATATTAAGCCAAGAATAAATATTTTCATCTGAAAGCTGAGGAAATAGCAACACAGACACATTGTAGGTGCACCTGATTCTTCACACGGCCCAGCCTAAAATCCAGGTATCCTGACTCCTAGGCCCTCTTTTTGCTTTCATGCCTTCATGATCCAACCCACATTTCCAGGCAAAGATACCTCTTAGCAAAATAAGGAAAAAGCCATTCAAAATATTTAATGGACCATAGCTACAACCCCAGTGTTACAAGGCTAGTTTCCAGACAATAATATTCAGACTCCCCACTTACCATCCACTTGGCTGCCTCCGGCAAAGAATAATCTGGGGCCGTTTCTGGATGCGCGTGCTTTATAGTTCCAGAGGGCCAATGGCTGCCCTGGGAAAGCCTTGTCTCATTCTGTGAATTTGCCATTTCCTGTCCTGGCCCCTGCTGTCTTCATCCAGAAGGATGTGACATGGTGGAAAGTGACCTGCAGTCGCACAGCACATCCCGTATTTAGGAAATGAACATTGTGTGTTCGCTTTCCCCTGAACGCAGGAAAAGAATCACAGGCTCTTCCCCAACTTGAAACAAGTGTTGTCATTCTCCCAGGGGGGATACCCTGCCTTTCCTCTCTTGTGAATAGTGAATGACGTTATCTGGGAGGACATCAAACGCACCCCAGGCTGACCAATTATGTTGTTTCTTCAGAGGCCACCGTTACAAAACCATTTTTAAAAAGAAAAGAGAGGAGGGAAAAAAGCTGTTACATCTGATATTGGCCACTCTTGGTTTACTCCTGTAGTTTAAAAAACATTGTGAAGCTGTGAGTGGTGGAAACATGTGATCCTTTCAGCTCTCAGCCCTTATCATCCGGCCTTAAGAATAAAAAGTCACACCCACAGGAAGGGCTGCGTGCAGTTTTGGGCATCTCCAGCTGTGGAGAAGATATTTGAGGTCTCCAAAAGGGCACACTGCAGGCCAAATGCGTCAGAAAAATCAGTGGGGTCGAGCTCCACAAAGAGCTAAGTATACACTTTCAATAGCAGAGATTTGGCTTTCTGGGTTTTCCTTTGGAGTAACAACTGTAGCCCTATTTGATAGTTAAATGAATTTTATTTATAGGTTAGTGAAGCATGGGCTGAAGGGCAATTCTCTGCACGACTCAGGAAGGAAGAATGAGGGTAGCATCTGTGGACTTGTCACAGACCAAGACATTCAGAGGTGGTTGGAGAACTCAGTCTTAACATAGGGTAGAAATAAAATCTCCCTTCTAACACTCTCACCTTCAGATGTTATTGTCTCTGGACCCCACGTGTAACAAAGTAAAATGTTACCTAATCCTGTGCTATCTTCTTGAAGACTGGGATACTCAAGTCTATCGTTATTGCCACTGTATTTCGAGTGCCTTCCAACCACGGGAGCTCATTTTCCAGCGCTGTATTAGACAACATTCTGTTCATATACATGGGGTTTTCAGTGGCTAATTTTGAGAAATAGATCACTAGGCCTTTCTTCCTACTCTTAGTCTAGAAGCTCCACTGCAGCCTGTGCACCATGGCTGACACTGCTGTTGTTTGAAGTATCAATGGCATAGCTTCCAGTATCATAGCAACATGCAAGCCACCACAGTAGGACAAACTGACAGACAAGTGGTAACACCTTCAGATAAAGAATGCCAAATTAGGTTTTCACTTACATTAACCTGGTTACTGTCTCAACTCTGGTTCATTTGGAAAGTCTTAATAGCTAAATCCTTTTGGAATATTGTTAAATCCCTACCTTTATAACTATAACCAGTTGCCATCCAGATGACGCCAGTTTATGATAATCCCACGTGTGTCAGAGTAGAACTGTGCTCAATAGGGTTTTCAATGGCTGATATTTCAGACATACATCACCAGGCCTTTGTTCTGAGGTTCTTCTGGGTGAGCTTCGACCTCAAATTCTGTTGACAGTGAGCACATTAACTATTTCCATCACCCAGAGACTTCTATAGGAGCTCTGGTAGTATAGTGCCTAAGGCACTTGACTGCTAACCAGAAGGCTGGCGGTTCAAACCCACCAGCCACTCCTCGGAAGGAAGGTTGGGCATTCCTACTTCCGTAGTGATACTCCTCGGAAACCCAAGGAGGGGTCGCTATGAGTCGGGGCCCACTCGATGGCAAATAACAACAACAACAACAACAACAGAGACTTCTATAATTATGCATTGCATTTATCAACACAACGCCATTTGCCACTATTCACATCATGGTCCTTTTCAGTCTGATAATTCTAAATTTGGTGTATGTTCAAATATTCTGGCTAAAACTACTCAAACTAAAAATATAACCTTGTTCAAGAAACTTTCAGGATCAATCTACCTGCACTTTCGCAGTAATATATCTTCATGTTCCAATGGACATAGTCACCACAAATGGGATGCAAGCCAGGGTGAACTGGGGGTGGGCAAGGAGGAACCGTATCCTGATTCTTCAGCTCCCATATGCTCCTCCAACTTCATAAGCCATTTTCTTGTGTATTCCATGTTTACCCACTTCTGTCAAGTTGGTTCCAATTCATAGTGACCCTATAGGACAGAGGAGAATTGCCCCATAGGATTTTCAAGGCTGTCATCTTTATGGAAGCAGAATGTCACATCTTTCTCCTGTGGAATGGCTGGTGGGTTCCAACTGTCAACCCTTCGGTTAACAGCAAAGCACTTAACCACTGAACCACAAGGGCTCCTTATTGCAGGTTGAGATGAATGTCATTAGATATTTCATAGATAAGGAATTTTGCTGGAATTCAGGGTCATCTGCAGAGATTCAGTAATCATAGTACAGAATGAGGGTGAAGAAGTAGAAAATACAGGAGAGTAGGAAGCATGTGTACTGGACACAGCCAAATCAAATTGTTTTTTCTCTGTGTTATAAATCATTTTATTCCTATTTGCCTCTTTATGAAGTGAAAAATTGAGTCATCTAATAGTAGCCTAAATGAAAGGAGCTCTGGTGGTGTAGTAGTTAAGGCATTTGGCTGCTAACCAAAACGATGGTACTTCAAACCCACCCGCCGCTCTGTGGAAGAAAGATGAGGCAGTTTGCTTCTGTAAAGATTTATAGCCTTGGAAACCCAATGGGGGTCGCTACGAGTAGGAACAACTCAAGCACCATGACCTTAGTTTTTGGTTTAAATGAAGTTTCACTGCCTGTAAAAGCCAAGTACTTCACATTATTTATAAGAACAGACACTTGAACTTAATACTTTAAACTCAGCATTCATTTACTTTCATGTATTGAAGCACAAAAAGAAATTTAAGGAACAATTGAAGGTATTTTGATCAAAAGTTCCATGTGGGCAGTCTGTTCACACAGAGACAACAAAAATATAACATTAAGACAATTTGTGAATATAAGATTTAGACCAAAGGCCTTCCCAGCTCTCCTAATGTACCTAATATGTACATTTATCCAAATAAAAGCAAACTGAAATAATAACAAATCCACTCAAAGATTTTTGGTCATATTATGTGGAAATTTCACCAGAATGTTAAGTATGATAAAAACCAAAACGCCCTGCCATTGAATGGATTCTGACTCATAGTGACCCTCATTGGGTTTTCAAAGCTATAAATCTTTATAGAAGCAAATTGCCTCATCGTTTTTCTGCAGAGTGGCTGGTAGGTTTGAACCACCAACCTTTTGGTTAGCAGCCAAATGCCATAACCACTACACCATCAGAGCTCCTTGTAAGTGTGATAGCACATGGTTAATTCTTGGAGTTGTTTGTTAAGTTACCTAAAAAAAAGTATTTTATTCATTCAAAGAATGATTTCATGATTATTTTATGAGAATCTAGCATTGAGTTGTCCCTTGGACCAGGTAGGTACCTTAGAGCACTTATTCTGTAGAGGACTTTGAGGATGTCTACGTTCCATGAAGGAGCCCTGGTGGCTCAATGGTTAAAGCACTCTGCTGTCAACCAAAAGTTTGGCTGTTTGAACCCACCAGCCGCTCCACAGGAGAAAGATGTCACAATCTCCTTCCATAAAAATGTACAGCCTTGGAAACAGTATGAGGCAATTCTACTCTGTCCTACAGGATCACTGTGAGTTGGAATGAACAGTGGGTTTTGGGTATGTTGCATGAAACTTTAACTATTACTGTCCTATACTCATGGAACTGCACAGGAAACAAAAGACCCAGTGAATGCAGAAACATACCATTTTCATTTCTTCAAATGGGCCTCTGATCTTTGTTAATGTACACATAAATCCTTAAACACTAGAGTTTAAACACTAGTCTGTTTTTTTTTCCACTAACGTTCCTGCAGATACAGATGTCTCCATGTTGGCACAGTCCTCACCTTTTGTCCTTTTTAATAGCTATATAATAATCCCTTTGTTTGCTTAGTCATTTCCCTATTAGGCCCTTGGATTGTTTTCAGTTGCTTCCCCCCCTCCCCCACTACTATAACTTTTGGTTTTCTTACTATAACTAAAGTTGCCAGTAACATCTGTGTACATTTTCCCCCTTTGGATTATTTCTTTGGGGAGTAATCACAAATGGAAAAATACCAGACTAAAGAGAATGAACATTTTCATAGTTTTCTTTTTATTTATTTATTTTTGCAGTGTTCTTTCCCCTCCTTTGATAGTTTTCATTACATGTTGCTATGTTTCTTTCTAGAAGAGTCTATTTATAATACCATCAGCTTTGTTAGAATAGCAGCTTTTGGCTTTGATACAAGTCAAAGTTTTCTTATAATAATATCTAAAATTTTTCAGTTGTTTTCAAGGTCATAAATATGTATGAAATACCTACTGTATGTCCAGGCATCGTGCTAGACTCTGAGGATAAAAAGTTGAGTAAGATACACTCCCCACCCTCCAGGAGTTTGTAATCTACTGGAAGAGTTAGATATAGCACAATCTATTTCTATGGAATGTGGGAAATGCCAAATGTGTGTGCAGGGACCAAGGACACACAGGGAAGTCGATGCCTAGGTATGTCTAGGGAAGACTTCCTGGAAACACTGATGGTGACTGAACCTTGATTGTTGAACCAAAGTTATTTGGACAAAATTTACGAGAGAAAGATAGGCTAAAGGAACAGGAGGAACAAAAGCATGGAGGAGTGTTAAAGATGCTTGAGTCAGGTTGATATCACTGAGCATAAAGTGAAAGGCTAGAAATGTCCAGGGATGAGGTGAAAGGATACATAAGGTCCAAGTTATGACAAGTCTCCAATTTCACGTGGGAAAGAGGGAGCCACTGAAGGCTTTTAATCTGTGGCTTTACAGGATGAGGTTTGACTTCATGGACAGTTGTATGAAGGATGGTCTT